AGCAGTGGTGTAGCGTTAAGTGGCTGTAGCTCTCTTGCTACCACATAATGTCAAGCCAATTGAGTGTGGAGCAAGGTTATAAGGTAAGCTAAAGTAACCTCTTGGAAACCAAGATCAGTCCTGCAGGTAATGCTATTCATACTTTGTCAGATCACATACAAGTACTCTTGCCTAACAAAGCAAGTTGATGTGAAGACAGTGTTACACTATTTTGGCTTTCCCAACTTGGTTTACCCAAGCTATAAGCTACTCACGTGGCAGCTCATCCATGTAGAGGCTTAACCCATACAACTTTTAACAGCCCAACAGTGTGGTTGTTTATTCTGTATTCCACCCTGTGCTCACTTGCTCATTATATACCCCAAATCAGCTGATGGAGAACTTAATATTGATTCAGTTGAAAAGGTATGAAACCTCATAATCTGCAAATTATTTTTATGTAAGAACGCCTTCATATATAACTTTTTTCATTCCCATGCTCAGACTTGGAAGCTACTTTTCCCATAGAAAATACTTTAATCAAAATTGTCAATTGATAAAATTGAGAGGATCAAGATAAACAGTACAGCTCTAATCGTAATGCAATGTCTAGGCACACAGATGTAACAAAGTGTTGGGGCACATATTGATTTATATGTATATATAGGCTAGAGAGTGTATTTATATGAGAAATGTAAATAGACATTTTTATTTGTGTGCCAGTGTCTTGATAGAAGTTTGTGGATGGGATTGTGTGATAGTTAAACAATGCACTGGATCTAGTGCTACCAAGCATTAGATTGGAGTGCACCAAAGCTCAAGTATCTTTTTTGAGGTTAAACACTGCTCAATGTTGTATTCTGGGTAACAAGTGGAATTTGGTTTGCCCAAATTTTCTTTGCTCATAGGTAAACACCATTATGCAGTGCATGGAATATATTTTATAATAGTTTTTTGGCATGTTTGCTTGATGGGAAAATGATGTGAGTAAACATATTTCTTGTGCCATATCAGGTCATCCCATTTTGACATTAATTACAGTGCCATAATGTGTGATACTCTTTTGTCAGTGGGTAGATGATACTTAATCTGAATACTGTGTTCAGGTCAGAAAATCTCAGAACTGAAAAGGTTACTCATTATCATCTTAATAGTGTATGTGCCTTGTATGCCACAGGTATTTTTAACAGCTTGAAGAGAAAAGCATTTAGCCTTAATTTCTATACGGAAAGTTTTAATTGTTGAATCCTGCATGATGTTCTTTTACATTTATCATTCTTTATTACAATCTGAAAGTTACCTTATAATACAGATAATTTTATAATGGCCATGAGAAATCGAATCTCCAGGAAACAGATCTAAAGTAAATATAGTAATCTCCACATATGATTTATAACCAGGTTCTTGAATTTACTTGGTTAAAGACAAACAGATACTGTGCATTATAATGCATAGGAGAAGGGAAATTAGTACAAAATTTCAGGATCACTTCTACTAGATTAACTGAAACATGAAAAAAAGAAATAATATTAGAATGAAGCCTTGGGATTACTCTTGGTCTTAGAAATTATTTAGTCACTTGCAGTATGAATATTAATGTCAATGTTGTTACAGGCTTTTTGAATTAGATGATAGATGTTCTACTTGGAAGTATGATGAAGTTTTGAAATTTCCAGTCATATTAAATGTGTCTCATGTTGAGTTATAACAATGAAGTAAATGATTATGTAGGTATTCATATACATGCATTTATGGACATATATTTAGGATTGGGGCAAGAGTAGATGTTCTTGCCATTAATTGATAATTAGTAATTGATATGACATGTGTGATAAATTGCCCTAAGAATTTTTCCATCTTCATAATATATGATTTTAATAATATTGTATTAATGATTGTAAAATCTTGTGATTATCTCTCTTGCCTTGTGGGTTTTGTTTGAATTTAAATCACATTTGAATTTGAATTGTCTTCTATACAAATTAAACTTATTTTTTGTGCTAATTCATTCACTGAAATGTTTAAAGGAACAAAGAAATATGCATGTATATGTATATATATTTATCTATCCATATATATCTATATATAGAGAGAGAGAGAGTGAGTGAGTGAGTGAGTAAGTGAATGAGTGAGTTTGCGTGTGAGTGAGTTTGCGTGTGAGTGAGTTTGCGTGTGAGTGAGTTTGCGTGTGAGTGAGTTTGCGTGTGAGTGAGTTTGCGTGTGAGTGAGTTTGCGTGTGAGTGAGTTTGCGTGTGAGTGAGTGAGTGAGTGAGAGAGAGAGAGAGAGAGAGAGAGAGAGAGAGAGAGAGAGAGAGAGAGAGAGAGAGTGAGTGAGTGAGTGAGTGAGTGAGTGAGAGAGAAAGTGTGTAGATTTTTCCTTGATATTTTGTGAATATAAACACTCAGTAGGTGGGGTGCACAGGGAAATTTCAGAAATAATATTAGATTTTGAAACATAATGCAAATAAATGGATGTAGGTGGATTAGTTCTTGTGATTTTTGTTTTTTTTCCTTTCTCTCTCTCTTTTCTTTTATTTTGCACATTTATTAATTATTTATTTGTATTCATTAGAAGACATTTGCTTCACAATCAAAGAACTCTCTGTTGCATGATTTAACATTTCAATTAAAAAAAATTGTTAAAAACAAAAGAAATTTCTAGAATCAAAACTCTAAGGCTCCTATTTCTATTCGAGAAGGCTCAAATGCTTTTCTGCTCAATTTTTCATATGGAGGAATGGTTTCGTACATGATTAAGTTGATCTTGAGTTCCAGATGTATGTCATAATTCCAGGGAAGAATAATTCCCTAAAAGAATATCACAAACAAATGTCTAGTATCTATTTTGTACATTTCCATAATCAAAATGTGTGACAAAGTGGGTATCTTTACAATCAGCTGTTATTTTTTTTCTTTCTTTTACAAGCCACACTAATATACATTTATTTTCATATGAGTCATAGAAATAAGAGTAACTATTGGCAGAAAGTACAATAGAAATCACTAGATTGATGTATGTAACATTTTGTCATCAAGGTTGCTCATTTTAGTGTTTTCAGACAATGACATTGAAAAGAATTTTCACAAGATGGAATCCCTAGTCACATGTACCTCTAGCAGTAGGCACAGATTATTTTAGTAGATTGGTGTATTATATGCAGTGAAATATTTCTGTAGAGATCATCCAGTATCCTTACATCCAGAAACCAAGTTCTTGGCATTAGATAATATATCACATGCAGATACTGCAACAGGATATAACATTATGATGCATTGTGATGGTATCAACAGAGAAAGCTGATATGAACACACCTGTGAATAAGAGGTATACATTAATGAACTTAAAATTAATATAAATAAACGAAATTGCAGTATACTCTTTTACTGTGTGGCTTCTTTCTATAAAGAATATTAATGTAGGAAAAGTTACCAGATTTCTTTTTATTGAGATTAAAAAGACATTCCAGATTACTCTCAGACTACTCTATGATGCTTTCAGTTTTACATATGGCTAGGGGCCCTTTTCCAGACCCTTCAAGGTAGGTGACCTGCAAGAAAACAAGATATAGGATTTTTTTTTTTTTCTTTTTGATTAATAGGACTAAAGATAATTTCCTCTCTCAAGTACAGACAAAAAAGAAGAGGAATGTAAATAGGTATCTGATATCACAGACTAAGCAAGCATTTTTTTTTTTTCTTTTTTTTTCACTAAAAAAAATTAAGAGATAGATTTAGTTGAATTGTGAAACAGGAGTAAAGTGCAATCATGCAGAGTTTATCAGGTATAGATATTATTTTCTAAATTAACAAATTTATTTAATACCCATCCTGTTTCCTTGGTCAGATTTATATAAGAAGGAGTTTATAGAATCTCTGTTAGAGATTATAAAAGTTGATAGACTGTAAATAGTCAAGTTCATCATTCAATGCATCATTAACATTGAAGTTGAATTTGCTTTAGGGTAGGGTAGAAGCATGTTACCATTATTCAGAGTATAGAGTTAAAACCTTATGCAAGATTACCAAGTTGAGTATAAAAGAAGAACATATGTAGCCAGCTATTAACTAATCGTCAGAATAATCGTCATAAGTTCCGTATAGTACAGATATACCTTTCCACAAATAATGATCATTAGTTTCTACAGATTTTGTTTGATAGGGTGCCATCCTTTTTGTCTTTGGTCAATATTGTGAATCCATTTTTCTACCAGTAGGTGAAATAGTAGGTGAAAGAATACAAGGTTTCTCTCTCTTTGTTTCAAATTACAAAATTACGTTTTGAGATTTCAGTGAAATTCTGTCTTTATTTGAGGCTAAAATTTCTAGACTTCCAGGAAGCCTTCTGTTTTTACTATACAGAAATATATTATACTGAATTAAGTTACATTTTTTCCAGATGATGGTACAAAAAAGGGAAATCATAAATTACAAGATGTTTTCATTTGAATGAAAATTTTAATATAAAAAAAGTATATTTTGTTATGTAAGTTGTTAAGGTATTTTTTCCATAGGGTGTCTTGCAAAACTTTATAAAGTGAACTTTTGAGGAAATTATTTTCAGAAATTTATTATCTTATAGTTTTAGTATGTCTACCTAAATAGTAAAGTTTTCTCTCTGCTTGTATTTTAGATTACTATAGAAGGGAAATTAAATGATATTCAGAATTGTTACAACAATAAGTGTATTTACAACAAAGTAATGCAGTGTTACCAAGCTATTTTAAAGTAATATTGAGTGGTTGGAAGTAGGTTATTTTTCTTTTCTCATTTTAATGCCCCAAAAGGAGTGCTAGGCACACACTCCTCAAGAAGTCGTAAATGTATATTTGGCAGTTGCATTGTATAATTTGATTAAAGGTTGTGATGATTAACATAGAAGACAAAAGAAACAGATCTTATTTTGTTCCAGATATGATAATGATAGCTAATTAATTGTGTTTTGCTAAATATAAATGGCTGATGACCTGGTAAAGGTCAGTCATACATTTTTAAAGGCATATATGTCAGAATAGTTTTAATGAATGTATTACTTAGCATGTGTTAGATGTTTATTTTATGTTCTCTGTAAAAGGTCTTGATTAGATGATTTTGTAAACTTGCATAAGATCTCTAATAATGTGTCCTGATAAATAATTGTACTTTTGGGGGAGTACATTTTGTAAGTCATTTACCAATGCAGGTTTATAAGCTATTTTAAAAGGTATTCAAATACTCAAACATTGACTTCAATGTAAATGAATTGTACAAGGTATAAAGTTATTTGAAAATTATGTAATAGAGGAGGCTTACTGATTTTTTGAGGAAAATGATACTGTTGTAGATCAAGGGAAAAAAATTCACATACATTTATAGTGTATATATGCAAAAATGCCTTTTGCAAAGACTTAAAGCATGACCAATGCCATAGAACTGCAGTAACCAAAAGGAATTAGAATCCATCGGTAATAGTAGGGTGAAGACAATGTAAGGAGCTAAAACTTGTGTGAATTTGTGCCGTAAAGCAAGCTCTCTATTTCCTCACTAACATGCTGGTGTTGCCACTGGCTAGAGGTTCATTTGTGCTCACCTTGAAATACCTGCACAAATGACTGGGCTATGGGAAATTTCTGGGTGTGTACAAGAGCAGAACTCTGGCACTGCGATCATGTACTGAATACAATTAAAGGAAGTATTCATTTCCGAACTTGGAAAAGATGAAGCTCTTGTTTATATCAAGTTGATTCCCCATGACCACGTTAGGTGATCACTTAATCTAGGATACATATGATTGTATTTTATATATTTTGCTCAAACAGTGTCTAGAATCTGGCCATAGTCAAGATCAACATATCGTTACTCCAGCAAGGGAGGGGACAAGAAAAAAAAAAAATAGAACATGAGCTTTATTTTTGCTACTGGATGTGTTGTGTATTCATGGAACATTAGAAATTGTGAATATATTTATTTGTAGTAACTAGGGTCACAAATTCATAAATCATTGTAATGATGTGCAATTATGTGTTGTAAATACAGTATGGATGAGTTAATAAAATATTTCTTATTCTATGAGTATAATATCCTCAGCAAATGTTTAAAAATGTGATCTTTCTGCAATCTCACACAATGTACAATTCTGAATAGATGAACAGAAACACCACAGATTTGGTACACATAGTAGGATCATTTTTTGGCTGTCTGTAAAGTGGTAGAGATATAAGCAATAGTAGGAAAGGTTAATAGCTGGAACTCAGCAGTACAAAGTTGCAACCTCAGAGACAGGGGTTCCCCAATCCTATTCCTGCTTTTGTCGCAGGAGTGCCTAGAAGATGGAGACTGAGACCCAATGTTGGGTATCTCCTTCCTTAGCTCTTGGTTCAACAAAGTTTGCATGGTCTTTATTTCTCCCACTTTCCTTTTCCATTCCAACCCCTTCTACTATCCAGTTCCTAAGGTGTGATGGTTAATGGTTAAAAGCAAAATAAATGTGCTAGACATCTAAGGTCATATAGCAGTATAGTAAAGATAGTGAAGGGGGGTTGAGTTAGGGTGCCTTCTCAATGTTAGCAACTAACATCAAACATGTTGGAGACTTTGAAGGGGAAGGAGCTAGGGAGTGAGATAAAGAATGAGAGGGTTGTATCAGGAGAGATATCAGGAGGTGGAGGATCTAGGGAAGGGCAATGTGACATAAGGGATTCACGTGTGTATCCAGGAGGGACTGGAAGGGATAGAGGGGACGGAGGGAGGCTTAATATAGGTGGAGCTGGGGGGGGGGGGGATGGATTGTAGAGGGAGTGTGAATAGGAGGAGGATGGATATTTGCAGTGACTTTGAGTGTGAAGGGAGTGGGAGTTGTGGAGTTTGAGGGTGGATGTAGGGTTTCAGTGTCAGTTTGGGACTCAAGTAGATGGTTTAAATATCTTCGAGAGTTTCTGTAATGGAGTTGATTGGAGAGCATTTAGAGATGAAGCTTTTCTTATGAGGGGAAAAGAGGAGACTGGTATCTGAGGAGTAGAGGAAAAGGTAGGTGGAGGTGAGTGTGTGGTAGGGGAAGAAGGGGTGGAACATTTAGTCTGTCTGCTGTGGGTAGTGTGAGGAGGGAGAGGGAAAGTTGTTGGGGTAGGAGTGGGGAAGTATGTATGTAAGATAGGGGAGGGTGTAGGAACGTCTTGGGAGGGAGGGGAAGGGGCAGAGCGAACAATATTACTAGAGTAGGGAGTAACAGAAAAACCTCATTGACGTGCTTCCTGTCTGGCATCATGTAGAGTGAGTCTAATTCTAAATCTGAGAGTTGCCACTTCAGACTCAAATTTGTAGGTGGGGCAGCCCCTGTAAAATACAATATGGGGGCTGCCACAGTTGGCAAATGTGCGTGACTGTGCAGAGCAGTTTGATTGAGTATGACTAAGTTGGGCACACAGTGGCATCTGGCTGGGGAACAGCAACATTTGGCAGGATGTCCTAAATGCCAACAGTTTTGGCACTGATGGGGAGGAGGTTGATATGGTCAGACAGAGAGTGATTCTCCACCATTGTAAACGTAAAAGGGAAGGTCATGTTTACGGAAAGTAATTTTGGCAATGTTAGTGGGATTTTTATGATGACCTCTGGGGGGAATGGAATAGTACTATATTGATTTGATATCACATCATAGTCTGTGAGGCAGGCCAGCAGGTCTTCTCCACAATCTTACCAATTTTTGTTATAAATAGGGCAGTGTGTTGGGAAGATAGACAGTTCCAGTGCTATGACTGAGGGTTGGATGAGGTTCTGCAGGAATGGGGTTACCAGAGAAATCAGAGTTGATAATGCTATAGCTTGGTTTTCGGATGTTACTGTGACGAGACGGGAATGATTGGGTCGGCTATGGAAAGAGACTTTGCCTTCTTGTTTTTGGAGACATTACTGGAAGAGAAGGGTGTTGTCAGAGTAGGGAGCTGTGAGAGGGATCACGAAAAATTGGTCCCATTTGACTGGGCTAAAGAGAGTACAGGTATTTAAGATATTTGTAGAGATGGGAGTAGTAGAAGGATAGGGGCATGTGAAAGAGGTAATAGTGATGGAGGTAGTATTATGGAGAGGTGGACAATAAGGCTGTAAGGTAATAATAAGGGAGGATGGGGTAGTTGATGAAGAAGGTTGTAGGTGGGTAGAGGTGATGAAGTTGAGCATGTTGGGTGAGTAGGAATGTCTCCTGGAGAGTGAGTGTTGACTTGGGTAGATAATGTACTAGTAGATAGATAATATACTAGTAGCTGTGGTCAAAGTTGAGCCTAGGATCAGGGAATCGGGAGAGTTTGAATTAGTGGGGCTATTTGATGAAGTGGCAAGCCTCATTGCCCCTTCATACCCTAATAAGGGTATAACATCATTAGTGGCCATGGTAAGCCTGGAGTATGTTGGGTAGAGAAACAGTCCACCCCTCAGGGTTCCCCTGAGGGGTAAGGGCTAGACAACTGAAACAGGAATACTGTGCTCATGGCTCCCTCAGGCCATTCAGGACTGGCATATAGTCAGCCTTTCATCCTATCTGCACAGCTCTCACACCTTAGGAAGTGGATAGTAGAAGAGGTTGGGGAAGGAAAGGAAACAAAAAGCAGGAGGGAAAAAAAGACCAAGTAAAATTAGTTGAGGGCGGCTAAGTCCCAAGGTAGGGAAGTTCCCCAGCATTGGGTCCTAGTCTTCGCCTCCTAAGCCCCCCTCCCATGACAACAATGGGCAAGGGCTTGGGAAGGTCCTAAGGTGTGAGAGCTGTGTTGAAAAGATTAAAGACTGACTTTGTGCTAGGGAAACTGTGGGCACTGTATTCCTTGACTGCTTCTCTTCCCCACATACTCCAGGGTTACCATGGACAGTAATGAAGATATTGTACTTTTATTAAGGGTACTGAGATTTGCCCCTTTATCAACTAGCCCTACTGACAAGTTCCCCTGGCTCTCCTTTGACCATGACTCAGAACACTACTACTACTACTACCATCACCCCTTCAATGCCTACTAAGTACAGTCCAAGTCACCCACCCAGGTCATTACTCAACCTCCAGGAAACATTCCTCCTCTCCCATCATCCTCCACTCTCATTTCTTCCACCTCCACACTTTTCTTCATCTACTCCCTTATTACTCTACTATTCAACCACCTCTACAAACCTTTTTAATACTCTATTTAGCCTAGCCAAATAGGATCCCCTCTACAGCCCCTTAATTTGACAACACTCCTCTTCTAGCAATGCCTCCCAAAACAATTAGGCAAAGTTTCCTTCTGTTTCCTCCCGCCACAATTGCTCCCGCTTTGTCACAGTTACATCCGAAACCCAAGCATAGTCCCTCCTTTTATGATCATATCAACATGTGATGCTTTTTACCACAACAACCCCTTTTCCCTTGATTCTCTCTCTCATGAAACTGCCCTTAATCCCCCCCCTTCTCCTTTCTCCCTATCTTACCCCATGGATGTCCTTGCAGAAACTCATGCTCTTTCCTTTGACAACTCTGATCTAATCACTCTTCTTCTTTAATCCCTGCCTTAGCCCATTTACTCTCCCTCTCTTCCCTCACCCTTCTTTGACCCTTTCAATGGCATACTATCCTGATTTGTAGTACGACTTTTGACATGTAGCACATTTAATCATTGGCTAACCCCACCCCCTCTTTACCCTTTTCATGACTACACCTTTCAGTAGTGCTATATGACCTTTGGGGTCTGGCACATTTATTTTGTTTTGTATCTATCAACCATTAACCTCAGAGATCATGAGTAGGAGTGGATTATCGTTTCCATTTCAACATTAACTTCCACATTATAAAGGATGTTGGCCTTATATAGAGTATCAAGTGGATGACTGTAAGGATTGACAAATTATTTATGACTAGTGCATTGCCCATTCAGTAGGTGCCTTTTAGGGCATTGTGGCTACCCTCCCTGTGTTCATGGGGATTGAAATTGCTGATTTTGAAGACGGTGAGTAATATATATTTTTGTTAACTGTTGGCCTTGCGGAATAATATCCTATGCCTGACAAAACTCGATTGCTTGTTTTCTTTTAACACATTGAAAACTGTTTAGTAGTTGAGGTTATGAAATTCATAACAAAAACAATTACTTTATTGGAGTGTATTTTGAGGAGTGAGAATTTATTTAAAAGGGGAACTTAGCACATTATTACTTTTAATAACATTGTACTCATTGTTTTATTTTCTTTAAATTGCTGTGTTATGGCAAGAATACCTCTGTTCACAAATCAAAACAAAGGCTATAAAAATTAATCTGACATACATTATTAGTGTATGGATTCAGCACATTTGACATGCAAAGTACGTTAACTACAAATACAGTATGGTACTCTCCTTAGTGTCAAATTATGAAAGGTTAATAGTTTGCAATTGAGTGTGGTTTGCTTCAACATTAACCAAACACCGTTTTAAACAAAAAATGAAATATAATTATACCATTAATTGTTTGTTCACCTTTGGTTTAGAATTAAAAGGAAAAATCTATACTGGTCCAAAGTTATTTTGCAACAGATATACTAATAGCCACAGTCATAATTAAACTCAATGGCATGCACATTAAGCAAGCAGATGTATCACATGAAGTATCACATTTATTACATATCACACTAAGTTTATATGATTAAGCTTATGGTACTGTAATATCAAATAAATTAGAAGAAAATGTGCAAATGGCAACTCATACCTCCCACCATATCCACACACCAGCCTATCACTTCTTCCGAGATACTCAAATAGGCTTTCTTGAAGCAACTTGGCAAGCGTTATTGGATTCTTTGAAATTCTTGAAACTTACCATTCTTGCCAATCCTTACAATTTTTCCACCTGATGATACCTCGCTATGTTCCTCAGCAGTCCATATTATTTACACTTATCTTTATTGAGTTCTGCAATTTGATCCTGCCAACACCAGGTCTTTGGAGGGAAGGGTAGTTGGATCCATACTGTTGTTAAATTACAAATTGTAAATATATATGCTTAATCTTGAAAGTCAGCACAAAGATTCATAAACTTAGTTGTTTTTAATAGTTTCTGTTGTCATGTAATGCAGG